TTGCCTGTTACATACTTGTGCTCAAATTCATATCCTTTTTACCCACTTTTAATGGTTTCAACAAGCATGCAACTCTTGTCTTTTTGCTCGGACTACATTCGACTTTGTACCTGCCTGATCGTGCGACTCAGCATAAGATGTGTTTATGGAATTTCTGTAAAAATCACGCATCATCTCTCTGAAGTGTGCGAAGCAAGTTACAAGTTTACGACTTTAACGGCGCCACATTGTTGCAAGATACGCTCGCAGCAACAGCAACAGCAGCAGCAGCAGCAAAAGCAGTGCAACAGTTGCAGTAGCATTAGCATATGGCAACAGTAATGCGAATGTTGCATTTGACCTCGAGGCGGCCGCTGTTGCATTAGTCGGCATCTGCATCTGTGGCAACGTGTGCGTGTGTGTCTTCGTGACTTTTAACACTCTGCCTCCAGCTCGAACTTATGGCGACAACTGCCACTCAGTCACCCTTCTGCCCTCTTTGCAGTTGTTGCTGTTGCCGTTGCCGTTGCCGTTGCAGTTGCAGTTAATTCAATAAACGCCGTTCACATTTCGCGCATGTCCACGTCCACGTCCCAAGTCGTCGGGGTGCCATGTGAGGCCATGCCCATGTCCAGAGTCAGTTCGGCGTAACGTTGCTGCACACACATGTGCAACATGCGGCGACACATGCGCACTTTTGCGGCAAATGTGTTCTGAGTCCGACTTGGGAGGATGCTGCCAGGCACTTAACCATTTTTCCTCACAGTACTCTCGATTTTTATGCTGCTGTCTTTTGCCACCACGCAGAGGGGCACCCCAACCAAGATCAACAACAACAGCAACAACAACAGCAACAACAACAACAAGAGTCATAAGATTGAAAAGTACAAGCCACGTGAAGTTCTTGTAGTATCTGTGCCTGTTCTGGTTGTAAACACTGCGTAGGTAGTTTTTCATAAATTTCATTCAAATGGCTTCGCTTTCGAGTGCATTGCATTTAATGATTTTCTTGTTGCTGTTGTTGGTCTTCCAATGAATCTCAGTTCTGATTGTTTGAATTCGACATTTTGTATCTTGTATATTACTGGTAATAAGACTAGCTTTGGTAATAAGACTGGATGTAAGACTAGCTTTGTAGATGAATATGCCAAATACAGTTAAAATTTGGTTTCGTTTTACAACAAGCAATTTAAACCCATCTTGGAAATAATTCTCAAGCCAAGACAAGCTTTAATGTTTTATTTAATGTCTATGCAAAGGTATTTCTTTTTAATTGTCATAATGCAAATAATAATTTGAAATGTACAAAATAACCCCATTCAAAATGAAATTGTTGGAGGATTTACTGTTGTTGCTTGCTCTTAGTTAGAAATTTGGCATATTTGGCTCAACAAAGTCTCCCAAAATTTCCATAATAACATATTAAGACTGAGCTTAATTTCAATATCTCAATATGCTGGGCAATTTCAATTTCATTTGACCAACTTTTATCCGTACGCCCGCCCAATATTTATGTGCAAATAATACTTAAGAAGCAGCGACAGAAGCAATTAGGCCAGTAATTACTTGGCTGTGTGTCAAATTGAATAAAAATCCTGAATCTGCAGCCTCGAAGGCTGTTAGGTAAAGACACCCCAAAGGATCGGGGCATTAGCATTGCCTAATTACATTTCAATCGCATGTCTTAAAAGGCGCTTAAACTCTCAATCGTTCATCAAAATATGAGTATAACATTTTTACGACATTGTTGTTTGTGTGTCCTTAGGTGTATGGGGTGTATATGTGTGTCGATTGGGTGTGCTTTGAGTGCAATTTAAATGTGATTAGATACTGGTTTAAGGACAATGCCACTCGGCATTTAAAAAGCAAAAAATAAACAACGAAAGCCAGTTAAGAATTTAAGAATGATCGTCTAAAAGATGCTCTGTACTCAATTAGCAAATACAATAATAAACAGAGACAGGTGTACTACTCGCTCTTAAATAAATATTATGAAAAAAAAGTGGAAAAATTATAAGTTAACAACATATATAAAATAAAATATATGTATTTAATATACAACTCTAAGAAAATTGGCAAATAAGGCAAACAATTCTCAGATTTAATAAGCTGGCAGCCTGCAGCTTTGTTTTCAAAATCTGTGGAAACGAAAGGTCAGACAAATAGATAATCCTGTGCCTCAAAATGCCTGCCTTTTATCTAAAGCACACATTCTCGTTACACCCATTGAATGGAAACAGGGTACACAAAAAGTACACAAAGTAAAACAAAGAAAGTGTATTTTTTTTTTGTTGTGTTTTGTTTTGCTGTTTGTCAACTTTGAAGCGTTCGTAAACGTGCAACAAGGAGATACACTCGAAAATCCGACTCACTGCTGCCCCTGATCCCTGACCCCGCCAAGCTACAGGCCCACCTTCAAGTGCTGCTACTGAAAGTGTATAAATACTTCATGGTTTGTTCCGCCTTACCTCGGAGTTGCCTAATCTAATCAATTTTGCTCAATGCTTTTGTTCTGTGTGTTTGTTGGACGCCCACGCAGCGCCAGGAGCAGTCGGAGCAACAGCAACAGCAGCAACAGCAGCAGCAGCATCAGCCGAGCAACATGAGGCAATGCCAAGCAGCCTGTCAGCTTCAATAAGGCTACGTTAACATGTGTGCCAGAAGGCTGGATATTGGGCGGGGGCAGGGAGTGGGCAGGGAATGGGGGGGAGTAATGATGCCAAGCGCGCCAACTGAGCGGGCGGTGAAAGCATTTCACTGTTTGCATCAATGATGAGCAGCTGAGGAGCGACGGCTACAGTTGTTGTTACTTGCTGCCATGCCGCTGTTAAAGTGGCCAGAAAACGTGGCCGTGACAGCTTACCCACCTCATCCCACCTCCTCCTTCCCCCGCTTAAATTACGTACAACCACACAACCCTATCTACTTTTTTCTGACTTTATTATTTCGCTGCTGACTGCTGCCGTTGCATTGCATTGCCAAATGAACTCGTTACAGACTTACAGATTTTAACTGTTTTGCGTATTTTCCAATTACATATTACAAGTTTTGTGAATTCGAATTTGAGTTTTATGTTTTTGAATATCCAATGTTAGCTGTAACTGTAAGACAAACTGACACATTTACACTTTCAGTGTGTGCAAAAGCATTGAATTATTTTTTTTCGCATTTAACCCATATTATCCAGTTGTCGAAACGGCTCTTCTGACAAAGCGCAAATGGCAAGTGAAAATTCGGCGAGCCTGGCCCTGACAAATATTTATGCAAATGATTTGGCAAGGACACCATGCAGTAAAAGGTTTTATGTGTCCACATTCTGTCTCAAATTATATTTGAAATGGATGCTCTTAAATAGACAGGTTCGCACATAGATATATTTATATATTTATATATATATATATATATATATACAGTTGTGCACAGTTCTGGTTGTGGGCGTGAATAGACAGCATTAATTGAATTGGACACGCGAATAATATAGTTTCTTTCTGTTTTCATTTACGGATATTCCGTCATACAAAATTGATTGCAAGTGAAATCTGAAAACTAAGTAAATGCCTATGCACAAATAATGAATGACGGTGAAATTGAGTAAGAGCATTTTCATGTTTGCCCAATAGTTCAAGGGCAGCATCAACAAATTTTCGATAATTGCAAGCAAGTCAATTTAGCTCAACTTAAATTCAAATACAATTAACCCAATTGTATAATGAACATAACCAAACTGCAACTTGTATTGAGGGTATATTTTAACAAGAATTTAACAATGCAAACTTTGCATGCAGAGTTGATCGAGTTTTCAGACCATTAAATTCTAGTTTTAGAAATTAGGGTCACTTTGACAAATTTATTGTACTGAAAAGCTTTGACCCTTGAGGTCATTTAATAATTTTGACATGAATTTCTAGATAGAAACGCGACTGTGAATTAAGTATTTATTTTGAGTTCAAACCTTGTTCAAAAGTTTTGGGTTTTGAAAATAGAATCACTTTTGACAGATTCGTTCTGCGACTATTTAAAAACTAGTCGCTAAAATATTTTCGCTTGTTTTACTCAGTGTACAATTTTCATTGATACTAAATGACATTGTAATACACGAAGATAATCGCAGCTTTCAAGTTATTACTTAAAGAAAAGCATGCGTTTTATATATAAAGGCTTAAGGCGAGTGGTATGCATCTAGTTGGAAGTTCTTTTGTCGCCACAATAACAATGACATCGCATCATATTCTAATTTGTAATTGATAATCTGTAGTATACTTTTGCTATAGAAATGGAACCAGCAACCAATGGACTTATTCGTAATTGAATTTATCGAATAGGGATCTGTGGCAACTGAGAGACATCTGATAATCATTTTGAAATAAACTTCATATTTGCGGCCCGGTCCTATCAATCATTGTGACTATGCTATTTTGCTTGCCTGCCTGTCACAAAAGAGAGATGGAGAGATTGAGTGAGACAGAGAGAGAGAGAGAGAGAGAGAGAGAGAGACAAGTATCCCACAAGTGACTACACACCTGTATGCGATAAGGAACGCCCAGAGAAAACTTTAACTGTTACAGTGGCAGACAGAGGATGCAGGAGAGGTGAGCAGCATACGGTTCGCTGGGCAGTTATAGAACAACAGATAGACAAACGACATAGGCGAGACGGAAGGGAGGTAGGGGTGAGGGGAGGCGTGTGTGCCGGCAGTCTAGGCATATACATTGGAAATTGACAGCCTGTGGGTGTCACATACACAACCACAAGCAGTGTAATACCTGCAATCGCATCCCAGTTTTCCCAGCATCACATAATATGATATATATTTTTAATGTCTTTATTATGTTCCATTGAGTGTAAATATTTGCCTTGTGCACAAACACAACACGCATAGACGGAGGTTGCTTCTTAATACGCGGCACGTGCTCAGCGTTTCAACTTAAGCCATGAGGCAGATTCAAAAAAAAAAAAAAAAAACAAAGAAACAAACAAACTTTTCATATGCCCGCCACTTGTAAGTGAACTGGGAAACTCACCTTATTAAAGTTTACTTTTGCGTGCGCAAAACACAACAGGTACAAAAAGTTTTGCTGCAATAGAAATGGAGAGAAAGAAAAGACGGTTAGGTTAATAAGACACACAGGGTAAAGTGAATCAAATGAATACAATGAGTGCGTTGAGTGAGTTGAGTGCTTTAAGTCGAATATTCGGTATTGGCATGGCAGACACTGGCACACAATTAATCTTGACTGTCGAAGCGTTTAGCAGTCCCCAAAAAAATATCTGAAAATGGTGTTGCAAGAACAGAAGCAGAAACTGGCGATTTATGACGATCAGTTCAATGCACACGCGTTGGCTCTAACCTCCTGCAAAGGGGTATGCCCAAAGCCGGGCCGCGCAACAAACAGAAAAGAAAAAAAAATAAGAAAACCAGAGTTGCCCCCCTGAGCTGACTTAGCTTCACATAAAGCAGAAAAAAACACACACACAAACAAATACAATCACTTTGCATGCGTTCAACTTGGTGAGGGGCATTGTCATCTTATGCAGCGAGCAGCAAGCAGCCAGCAGCCAGCCAGACCAAAGCGAGTTTAAAGTTGAAAGGATACCATAAATCTTAGCAGTACTTGCACTGCTCACACCGCACTCCACAATCCTCAGTCCTCAGTATGACGCGAGAGAGGCGCGCTTGACAGCATTGGGTTTAGCTTGTCGCATTTTGCTAAAGCCAACCAGCCAGTCAGCCAACCAGCCAGCCAGCCAGTCAGCCAACCAGCCAGTCAGCCAGTCAAGCAGATGAGTATTCCTCTCGCATGTTCTGCATAAATAAAAACTGAGCAACATTTCCTTGTATAAAGACTGATGTGGCATTAGGGAGTTATTGCACCACCAGCTTCTTTTGGGGTCTTTTTGCTTATCAAATTGTGAATGAAATATTTATAAGCTTTATGCATGTGTATAAAAATTCAAAAAACATATTCCGCCCTGGATTTGAACTAGCATTTATGTCAAGTTATTTATCCCCAGTTGAAGGACGTGTTACACTTTTTACTTTGGTCTAGAGTTGGCTTTGTGGCATTTCTTTAAAACAGTTAAACTTGTACATCCTTCAAGTGTCTATCCAATTATTAAAAGGAACTCTGTTTGAAACTCTGTTCTACAGCTAAGATAATTTCTAAAACGAACAATAATTGTAAGAGGAATATAAAAAAGAGGACCTATACTAAAGAGGACCTATACTTAAGGGGGTACCTTAACTCCATGAGATTTACTTATCAAAAATATCCAATTAAACTGATTTATTATGATTTATGAAGCAATAAAGTATAAGCTTGAAGTGTGTAAGGCACCAAATTCAAATTTAGTGGACCATAAAAGGTCTTTCACGCGAAAAGAAAATACTTGTGTGAGAGATGATAACTTTTCCAATACACGTGCACTTCTAGTTAAATAATAGTATATATAAATGCTGCTTTACGAAAAGGAAATGCACATCAGTCAGCATTTTCTCTGAAATCAGACAGTCTCCATATCTATATACATACAAATGTGCTACATACTGAAAAATCAATTGCCAGCTGTTGTTTCACACAGTCTGCAACATTGTGACGTCATTAGCTCAGCTGTTGATGGATAATTTTGTACACAATTAGGCAGCTCCAAAACCAAAATCCTGCACACGCTTAATATATATGTACATTTATTCAGATGTATATATATATATATATATATATATATATATATATATATATATATATATATGTATTGATGCCTAATTGTGTATGCTCAATCAGCTGTTGGTTTTATGTCGCCCCAAAAAAAAAAGTACTTAAGTAAAGAAAGGAAAGGAAAAGAAACAACCAGCGACTGCTTGAAAAGCAAGCCAAAACATCCAAAAAAGAAAACATACGCAACATGTGTGCACAATTTGTTGTTGTTGTTGTTGTTGTTGCTGTTGTTAAAGTTGTTATTGTTGGCATACAGCACATGGCATCTGAGATTCGGCTCGTGAAATGAACCGTATATGTGCCAAAAAGTCAAAGCGCACACACACACACACAGAGATGATCACAAATAGTATTTGTTTTTCAAGCAAACACATTTCCCGGGACTCAAGTATGCACATCCTTTGGCCGCTTCCTTCTGCTGGCATTTAGCATGTTCGCCGCAGAGAGGAGCAAACGCATAGTTCAAATGCAATTCAAGTGGCCTCAAACCCCTGCTTCGTTTAAATATTTTTATGACCCGCACCGAGCTGCTGTGTGTGCGAGTATGTCTGTGTGTGTCTCTGTGTGTGTGTTTGTATTTCTCACCTAGCAGCGCCAGAGAATCTCCATTGCGATCAGTTCTTGAGTAGCGGGAATATATATATATGATTGTGCACATATACATATAGTATGTATATAGTTCTTATATACATGTGTTTCCTTTGATTTTTGTTATTGGGCGCAACTACAAAAAAAACACACACACACGCATAAATAACACTGTGTGTGTGTGTGTGTGTGCAGACACAAATGTTATTGACGTCGCCGTCCGGGCACCGTCAGGCACAACACTACGACGGACAGACAGAGGCGTGTAGCAAGCAGCAGCCAAAGAGCAGCAGGGCAACCATACGTTGACTCAGGGATTGGCAGCGGGTACTGGGACCTGGGATCGGGGCACAGTAGTCGCTCGCCAACGAGTACATCTCGATTTCGAAACTCATTTTCATTTCATGCGTGTCTCGTGAAAAGCATTTTCACAACATAATTCATACTATTTTGGATTATTTTTGTTAAATATAAAATTGAATTTTTAATTTTATATATTTATACTTTTTTTTAAATATATTTTGTACTTCTTGTACTTGTCTAAGTCGATCGATATTAAATAAATAAACAGTAGAAAATAATTCTGTTGATTTTATTCTCATTTAATGGGATTGATTGAAATAGCTGCCATTTTAAATTGTTTTATTTCTGCATACTTTTAGTATAATTTTTTTTTTTTAATCCCATATACATCAATCAATCCTTTATTCCTAAATAAATATCATGCACAGTAAGTAGTTGCTGGTCTGGCTCTGGTTGTGTTAGCCAAGATCACTGATGAAGGAGTTTCCCTACTCGCCAAACAGTTGAATAATCTGCTGCGTGCCGGATTCAACAAAAAAATATACAAATTTGAGTATTCAAAGTATTCAACCATTTTCTCTAGACAAATCTCATTTGAAAAAGTTCTAATTAACCAGCGAACACTGTACGCACTCTGGGGGCTGGGGCTGTTTTTGCTGGCTGATGTTACCGTTAAAAGAAATGCAATTAAAATGAATCTCTAGACTCCTAAAAACTTCAAGCAGCCGCAGCCGCAGCCGTAGTCGTTGCAGCAGAGACGCAGTAGCGGAAGCAATTAGTAAACTGAGCAGTCTTCCCATATAATCCCATAGCAAATCTCTGGCCGACTCACGCGTGCTCTACGTGGCATTTGTGCCAGCCGCTCTTGTAGCTAGATAGGTAGGCTGCATTGGGGAGATGCACTTAAGCAAATACATAATATATATGCTTATACATACATACATACATACATATACACAATATATATGTATACTATATGTAGCTGTCTGTCGGTTGAATCGTTTCGATCTGCTTGGGACCCTCTTTTCTTTTTGTTTTTTTTTTTTTTGGGCAGCAGGCAAAACGGAACACGTTTAATTTGTGGTGGTGCACATGCAATCCTTTCGACTGGGTCTTCCTCCAACTCCATTTCCACCTTTGTCCCCATTCGTCCCCTGCCATTTGTTACGCCTTGCGAGACACATTTGTGTTCATAATTTCTATAATTTGTTGATGTCGCATATTGGATTCCCTGCACTTCAACAATAATGGGGCAAAAGACTCGAAATAGATTGATCCTGATTCACATATTTCCAAATGGGGGAAAACACTATCAAACTATGAAACTGGTGCCGAGCCAAAAAATCTAGTTAGAAAACCAAAAATGAATGTGCTAAATGATGTGTTGTCAATGTGAAGACACCGTAATTATAAGTCCAATGTGCCCTTAACGATGAGCTCTATTTCATCACTGAAGACAGACGAAGATTTATGATAGACTATTGGAATTATATTTGGCATATTTACATATTATTTGAGCTTTCCAAACAACTTTCAACTGTTGTCAACTGTTATCGAAAGGAAATTAACATTTTTGTAGAAGAATTTTGTAAATTATAAATATATTTTTACACTGATCTACTTGATGAAAGCGACATTATTACTTTTTCTATTTACTTTTAATATCAGTACAGTGGCTGAAAGTCTGCATTTAAGCTCATAAACTCAATAAGATAAATAAATATTTACTATTTACAGATCAAGTATTTATATTTATTTATTTATATTAAAAAGAAAAACCTTTTTAAGTGAATGCTTAGTTTTTTCCTCGATTTTTATCAAATATAATCGTATTTTTCGATTTGATACCCATTCTGAATGGTTTGAATGGCTCTGCAGCATAGCAAAATAATATTGTAGACAGATTGGCGCAACAGATTTATAAATACAAGAAAACAGTCACAACTCATCGAGACGGTGAATTTAGCATTAATGCCAGACGCGCCCCTTCTACACTTACAGCTCCCCTTGCGCCTCTCCCCCTCTCCTACACTTCCCTATATAGTCTGGACAAATGGGACCACCCATCTGTTGGTTGCAACAACAAATGCAAAAAAAAAGGCAAAATTAAAGAGAACAAAAAAAAAATAAAAATGAAAACAAGACAAAATGGATAATAAAAGCCAATGAAAATAAACATTAAAATACAAAACATTGAATGGATGATGCAAACATCCATAGACTATCCTATGTATGTATAAAACCGTCTAACTATCTGTTTGTCTGTCTTTCTTTCTGTTTATACATTTCTGAATGCGTGTCTGTGGCGCTGCTGCATAAATAAAAGTTCTGATTTAGCTGAGGCACGTGCCAAAATATGTATCACACATATAAATATCTATGAAAATGTATATCTGCTAAAAATTCGCAAATAAGATTAATATAAAAATAAACGCTGGCCAATTAACACGTGTATTGGCCAAATATCAATTGTTTACTTCAATTGAAAAATGCAAGACCCAAAATCAAACAATTAATTCATTTTTTTTTTTTTTTTGCTAGTGGGCGGAACAGGGACACGGACTGGGGAGGAGGGGAGTCAGGAAAGGGGGAGTCGGTGGCTATAAGTATTTATAAGTTGCGACCTGTTGTCTGCCATTCATTCAGCACGAACAGAAACAACAACAAGTTGGCCAAAATAACACGGGCAAAGTTAAATATAAAACAAAAACAAATGTTAAATTTAGTTATGGATATTTTTGTATTGCAAACAAACAACCACACACACACACACACACACACATACACACACACACACATACACACAGACAAAGACTAGCAGAAGAAAACACACAGTCAGCGAAATCTATAAAAATTATCCTTTTTATTTATAAAGCAAACAAAACGTACAACGAACCACCAAACAAATTGATCGGAAGCCGCGTGCCAAAACCAAATGCTACAAAAGTCACGAGCGATAGTTCTTCAAAATGGCGGCCAACTGATCACAAACGCACACACAAACAACACGAATAGAGAGAGAGAGAGAGAGCGAGTGAGAGAGAGCGAGAGAGCGCGACATAGTTCGCAAAAGCGCCTGCGCAAAACGCTGCCAAGCTTTGTCTATGTGTGCGTAACTCATTCACTCACTCACACTCATTCACACTCTCTCTCTCTCTCTCTCTCTCTCTCCCTCTCGCACACACTAATTCACCTTCTCTTTCTGTGCTGCGGGCATTGTGTGTGCGTGTGTGTGTGTGCCGCCATTTGCATTTTCTGTCTAAATATAGACAAAGACTGCGGCTGCTGCTGTGGTCGCTTTTTGTTGCTGCAAAGAGTGTGTGTGATCGCCTCATAGGTAAAAGAAAGAGCGCCTGCAGGTTTATGTGTGTGAGTGTGTGTGTGTGAGTGTGTGTGTGTGTGTGCGTCGATGTGTGTGTGAAGAGTTGCTCACGTTACGTGGCGCTGCTTTGGTCGCGCCCGTATACGTCACTCATTTGCCTGCTTGCATGTGTGTGTGTGTGTGTGTGGCCCCCTCCTGTGCCCCACAGCGCTCTGCTTGCTGATTAAATTACAGTATTTTCTTTTCTTTTTTTTTTATTGAAAAAAACAACATTTTCTTGTCGTTTCGAAATTTTCAAACGCTGCTCTTCGAGCAATTTGGCAACTCGTTCGGTTTTTTTTGTTGTGTTCGGCTACGTTTCGGGTATTTGGCTGGCTGACTGGCCTCCAAGACAGGTGCTGCCGAAATACGAATTACGAAAACAACGTATGTACAGTTGCAAAATGAGGCATGATCACGATTGCTGCCCCAGCCCGCTCCGCTCCGCTCCTCCCCTTGACCCTTGCCATGTTGCATCTGATGTCTGTCGTCGCCATTGCGCAGCTGCCTGAGGCAAGCACACACTCATGCATACACACACACACACACACACACTCAAACACACACACACACACAGACACAACACATGCATTCACATGTTACTCATACAGCAGAAGATTTGTTTTGTTGTACTGACATTTCGTATAAACATTTCTGTATACAGTGAATTGTAGAAATTGCTTTTTGTTCGCTTTGCTTTAGTGAAACACATGGGCGAATACAGTAAATATATATATACAGAAATTGGATGAATGCTACATGATCTCGGTTATACAAATGCATGCACAAGTCGAAAATGCGAAATGTGCTGTAATTTATATTCGTGCATATGCACATTATTCACAAGAAATCGAATGCAGTCAAAGTTCGACACACATTCAAACCAATTTCTTGATCAGCGGCTAATAAATGAGAACGCCGCCTCCGAAATGGCTAAAAGTGCGCTTCTACTTGAATAATATATATATATGAATTCGTGTAGATAAAATAATGTTTTCTAAGTTAATTTCTAACAGGTTTCGGGAATAACAATGGACTTGTAAAAAGAGCGCCATGGCAGCTTTCACCTGTATGTTGCCTGTCCAATAGATGACATGAATGTTGACGTCTAATAGCTGCTTCAAATATAAAAAATGTATACAAAAAAGTATGCCAACAGCTGTCAAAATTGGATAAAAAACAAGAAAGAAAACACGCTGAAGAAAACATACACCTGCAAACCGAAGTCAGTTCTTATGAAAGCTATATAATATAACCAAAATCTTGAGTTTGCTCCCAATATATATTATAGTAGTCCGAATAATTGTTTGAAAGCATATTAAAACTTGTAAACATTGAATTTGGTTGCAATATTTTGGTAAAGAAATAAGTTTTTCAAACAAGAACTCATCTTTCAACCGACTGTTCCTATGGAAGCTAGGAAGATAGGATCTAGTTATTCGATCTCTATGATTTTTAGCGCAACAATGAGAAGCATTCTAGTAAACATAATGGGTAAGTTTAATTTGAGTATCTTATTAAGCCAAAGAGTTTTTTTTTTGTATAGAAGAACTCATCTTTGTTTCATCAAGATAGTTTCAAAGTTGTGGGAATAATTCGCATAGAAACAGACTGACAGGGAACAGAGGAATATGGCTATATCGAATCGGTTCATAATGCTTATGAAGAACTTCACAATAGAATAATAATGCAAAGGTATAAAATAAATAGTAAACTTAAGTTAATATTGCTAAGAGCTAAATAAAAGCACGACAACAGATGTTGAACCCATTTGCTGATTTGCTGCTAAGTTTCTATATTGTAAGCAGATGCAAATGATTCATTAATCTTGCTCGTAACTGCCATGTTTCTGTGTTGTCAATAAGCCACAATAAATATGTTAAGATTATTGGGTACAGTACAACAGTGCGCAAACATGAAACAACTATTTTAATTTGCACAAAACAATTTAAATGTGCAAATCTGGCAATGCCAACTGCAAGACCAACAAACGAACTAAGGAAAACAATTTCTTGTGCACAAAAACCAAAAAAAAAGAAAAGAAAAGAAAAGAGAAAATGAAAACACAACAACATCCGAAAGAAAGAAAAACAAGCGAAAAGTGTCGCCATTTTTGATCAGCAGCAGAGATTTTTGCCTGGTCTTTTTGTGCTGTGCACTCAGTACTCAGTACTTTAGCTGTGTGGTTGCGAGTCGAGTAGTTTGTTGCATGTCCGATGATGAGTCTGATATTTTCACGCTTAATCACTAACTGTCCCCATGAGCAGCAGCAGCAGCCCCATTGGATGTCGGCAACGTCTGTGGCGACACAAGACACAAACATTTTGGAACATGGCCAAAATACTTGACGCTGCAAATGAAATGGCAGAACGTTGAGCAAATGCAAAATGCAAAATGCAAAATGCACAAAATGTCAGCCACAAAATGAATGAATGCGACGCAGAGTGGAGAGCAACAACATAAAAACACCGAGCCAAAAACGATGCGCCACGGCCTGCCAACGAGCAAAACTGAAAGAATCAAAAAGGAAATAAAGAAAAACTTTAATTTTCTTTTATTGCGGTCGTCGCGTGCAATAATTGCGCGTGAACAGCAGCAGCAGAAAAAAACCAAAAAAAAAAAAACAACAAATTGAGAGACAGCTCAAGAAGCGACTCTTAATGTGATGAAATTCTGTCTACAGGTGCACACAGGCAGCGTGAGGCTGCCTGGCAGGTAAAATGCGTGTGGCGCCACACACACATATAAGTATGCTACCGTGTGTGGTGTGTGTGGGTTGCAAAGGACACGTGCTTGAATTTCTGATGATGCTCGCACACATGCCAGAATATTTAATAATTTCCATTGAAAGAAGATACATTTCAACCAAATTGCCAGCAATGACGTTCAATATTATTTTTTTATTTCTTTTTTTGCAAAATACTTTATATGACGCACTTTCCTCGGCCCGCCTTCTGTTTTTGGGTGGGCGTGTATGCTCATCAAAAAGTACGCGAAGAAAGTAAAACAAATAAATAAGTACGATTTATATAATTTCAGCTGGAAAGTTACGGAAATGCTTTTGAATACGGAGCAAACAAAAAAACAAAAAAAAAACAAGTGAAAACTTTTGTAAACTGAAGCCATTGACCTCGTGGCGCTCTAGTAGAGCTCTCAAAGTTTGGCTCCAAAAGTTAATTAGTTTATTTATTAGTGTAATACAACGCTTAATACTATGCGCAAGCATTTTGTGTGTGTTTTTGTTTTCTTCGCTTTTTTTCTTGTGTTGCTAACGAAGCTACCAATGAAACAGGGGCGAGCCAAAAAGACTCAAGAAAATTCTTGGCAAATGTTTTACGTTAATTGAACGCCAAGAAATACCAACGCCAATTTTCGATGTGCGTGTGTTTGTCGAACAATATTCATATATACATGCATATATATATATATATATACCTATCGAAGATATGTATACAATTCATGCACAATACATGCTCAGCTGTTGTTGTAGGTCTCGCCAGCTGCTTGGCGCGGTATGTGGGGGCCTGTACAGTGAGCACTTGACCATTGAGACACTGACTATAAAATCCTCAGCATACATCAATTATTTTTAATCATTTAAACTATCTTCAATCTGAGGCCAAGTCCAACATTTCTGTTTTGTGTCGCATCTATTGAATATCTATTGTAATCATTGCATCCAGTAATTATAATTATATTCATTATTTTAGTTAAATCAATGAACTATTGGCCAAATACTAAGGTAATTTACAATTAATAATTTAAAATAAGTAATTGGTTTTTACTCGTCATTTAATTTAGTAAAATAAAGGGACATAAATATTGTTCAATTACTTAAATAATTAAAAGTAATTGTAATACAATATTGATTGCTATAAGGATATGTGCATTAGTAAAATATATTGAAAGATAAATATTCTGGATATAGAGATGCTTACCTTCCAAATGCCACTGTTGAGCAACAACAAAGAGTCCAAAAAGGAGTTCAATGTTTCTAGTGCCGATCTAAAATTCTCAATGGCATCTAGTTAACATAATCACTACATATATATATATATATAAATATATATATATTTATTTATTTATTTGTATATGGCAATATGAATGCTATTAAGCCACTGGATTTCTGTGTACTTTAAGGTGTATTTTGTATCCTGATGTTGAATAATTGTTGTTGCGCTTGTCTCAGATGCCTCGACTCCGGCTCTGTCTCCACCTGCGTCGCTTATGTGACCGAGTTGTGCAACTGAAATCAGACAAAATGACAAATACAAGTGTTACTCGACCGACACAACTCGACAACGACATAACTAAGTACAGAATAAGAATGTCCTTATTTGCGTCACACATGCAAAATGGTTCCCCGTGGACTCGACGTCTTCCATGTCCATGTCTGTGAAGCCTTTCAGATGCAACAAGTCTGAGTTAGAACTCAAACACGAGAAACTTTGCAGCATTTCAGAGTTTTGTGGCTGCGGTTTTATGCACGAATGTTCATAAATGTTTAACATGTTTAACAGTAAGATACCCTGTATTCAGCTTTTGTTCATTTAAATAACAAATCGAACAATTAAATAATTTCATTTGTTTAGTGCTCAGGTACAAATCTAGTAAAAATAATTACCAGCAACATTTGAAGCATGAATTTTCACGGAGTGATCTCAATTTGTAAGTTCTTTGGTTAAAAATTGAGAGTTACATAGAAATTTGATGCAATTCAAACTCAGAAAACGCTCAAAAATTGGCTAATCACAAATCGAAATAGATAAATATATTATTAAGTTCCAAATTGACTAGCAGAATAATTAATTTGAGTTTTCTCGAAGAGTTAGTTGCCTTTAAGTAAGCATTTGTTTGTCTGCACAGCACACTGTATACCCTATAGATAAAAGCATGTGTACAGGGTATACATGAGCGAAAAGTGCGCGTGCTGGTCTCAACGCCCACATGCCAGGCATTAATCTCGCTTGTAGCGAGTGTGCATGAGTGTTCTGCGGTTTTTTGTCTCAGTGTGTATGTGTATGTGTGTGTCAGTGTGTATCAGCGTGTGTGTGTGTGTGTGTGTGTGTGTGTGAGTGTCAGTCTGTGTGAGTGTGCGCATAGTGTTGTGTGTGGGTGGCTAATGAAATGCTTCAACAGCAGCAACGACAGCAATCGCAGTCAACCACAGCCACATACAGATACACCTACACACACACGGACATACGCACACACACACACACACACACGCACACACACACACACACACACACACACACACGCACACACACACACAAGACTTGTGCGTTGCTAACATTGATCAGTGTTGCCTGTTCATTATATCTGTATAGGTATCTAGGGGCATGCATTGTAACTGTATCTGTGCATTATTGTATCTCATAGCTGTGTCTGTGTATATTTTTATCTGTGTGCATTAATGTGTGTGTGTGTGTGTGTATCTGTGTGTGCGTTGCCATGTCACCTCACCAGAGGAGCTTTTCCAGTGGGTCCAAATTGTCTGCAGCATTTCCTTTTTTTGTTGCCCCCAGTTCGTGTGCGAGTGAGAAAAAAAAGAAACAAAGACAGAAAGAGAAGGACAGAGAACGAGAGAGAGAGAGCGAGAGAGAGAGAGAGAGAGAGAGAGAGGGAGGCAGGCAGAGCAGGGCAAACAAACAAATGGACGAACTGAATTCTGGCAAGAGCAGTTGTCTATAATAAATTTGTTCTTCTTTTTCTTTTTTTTTTATTTTTATTTTTTTTGTTGTTGTTGTGTGCTCGAAGACTTTTCTGGTCTTTGTCATGATTTTCGACATTTTTGTCCGTCTTCTTGTGGCGCTTTTCACTTGATTTTTATGACATGCCCTATACGTGGCACACAGACAAACAACATTTCACACAAAACGCCCACCTATGGAAAAGAAAACGAAAATGAAAATGAAATTGTTGAATTCAATGGGGTGACAACGCATGGCTACCCCTACCTCGGCCTCCCTTCGTAAATCATGTGGGCCACAATTAATAAATAAGTTACCAAATATTCTTGTAAATATTTTCCATAATAAACTGGTGCTCGCATTTTGAGGTTCTCGCTGGTTGTTGCTGTTGTTGTTGTTGTTGTTGAGGTTTTTTTGGCTGGCATTTTGAGATTCTTTCGAAAATGGCGTCGCGGCTTTTCGTAATTCCTGGCAGCCAGCCAAAGTCTACACAAATTTGCGTAAGTAAACAACAACATTTTGTTGCAATTTAGAAAGAGTCGTTAATGCTTCTAGCTGTTTCTTTCAGTTGCGAATAGCAACAAAAACAACCAAAAAAAAAAAAGAAAAGAAAACACAACAAGTCGAAAACATTGCATGAAGTTTGCTGCAAAATATGCGCTGCGAGGCGAGTGCCAAAAAAAAGGGGACACTGCTCGTACTAGTAGAAAATTCTGAAATTTATATAAGTATGTATATCAGTACATATATACATATATAGATATAGATATATAGAGATGATGGGCATAAGAGTGGAGCACATGTGCCTGGCGGCATTTTGGAGTCGTGGCGTGCGTGCGTATTGAATTTCAGCGGAAACGGAAACGTTTGTCGCATTTGCTTTGGAATGACAGACATGTCGCTAACCCTACTTACTCCCAACCAACCATTCACCCTCCATCCATCCCCAACCAGCACAAACCCTCTCAGCTAATCCCAGCGTCTCCGCCCCTCTCTTTCTCTCTCTCTCTGTTTTTCTCTAAGCAGCCTAGGCCAAAACCTGGCCCTAGGCTGGAAAAAGTGGCATCTTCAGAAAGGCGTATCTTAAATACACTTAACACACTCACTTAGTTAAGTGTATGTTGTAGATTGTGAAATATCATTTATTGATTGAAAATATTTTAATTTCTCTTAGTCTACGTTACTTTATTAAAGTATATAATGTTTTTAAATGTTTGTTAGTATTTTAAAAAACTTGTAAATTTGATTTTGAATCAATCATTTATCAACACAGTGTTTACTTTAACCATTCGTACCGCATACTCTTCTATTTGATTAATTCCATAAGCAGGCAAGAAAAGTTAACAAATTCCATGGAGAATATAGCATATAAATATCTTATTGTTTTTCAGTAGTCTATTTTTGACAGACAACAAAGTCAAAGGTCATTGATATTATCTGAAACTTTCTGAAACAATTTCAATGCTGACATTTTCACAGCAACAGTTGTTCAACACTCAACATTGCAAAAACAAACAACTAAGAGTTTTTTTTATCCACACTTGAGGGTGTGTTAGTGTAGGAAAACCCTCAAGAGTTGTCACAGCTTTCTCAACGTGAAGGGAAGCACTTAACACACCAGCGTAATAGCCGCCAGATGCGGTATCGCAAAGGATTAGTTGGCATCAAACTAAGAAGCTTTATAGCTTGTGATGTGCTCAAAGGATGCTAGTTGGAAAAAAATCTTTAAAGTCTATCTTATACATTTTTACTATCCACACAAAAGTTGAACATTGCTGACATTTTAACATTAATACATAATTTTTTGTATAAATAATAACAAATTTATTGATTGCTTACAATGTGGTGCAGTAGTTAGAGTGGCGCCATCTGTCCGCATCTAAGCGTAGGCGATCGTGCTTATGGCGCTGCTGTTGCCGCCACCTATGGGCAGCGATAATGGCGTGCGCCATCTGGCGGTCAGCAACATGCGTTGGCAACATTTCAGCTGCACACAAAAACATTTCCATTTTTCGTACGCTTAACATTCTGTTATGCACAACTTTGTTGTTGCTGCTGTTGCCATACACTTTGCGCGATTTTCGTAGGAAACAAACAACAAAGAACAGATGTTTCGACTTTATTTTGGGAAATTTAATTGCTTTGACAGAATTTCACTTTTCAACATTGGCAATTTTTTGCCTTTTCTTTTTCTCTTTTTTCTTTATTTTTTTGGTTGACCCCACTTAAGAGCACTTTGCAATAAAACAAGAAGAAATATGTAATTTCATTCACACTTTTTTTCAGCACATTGTTGCTAATTTAATTTGGCAACGATTGAACACAGCCGGAAATATGCGTCCTCACATTTAATTTTGCATTACGATTTAAATTTAATTTATTACGAATATTTATAATAATTGATTTGTATTTAAATTGAATGCACACGAGCGAAATTATTGAATATTGTGGAGGATCGGCTGGGGATTGGATTGAATCGGATCGAAATGAAAATATGTCTGTGCACGATATTTCCTACACTTCACTTTACTGGCGCAGAAAATCGCATATACATCGAGAATGTATAATTATAAATAAATGTTCTATAAAAAACGCTTTTTTGTTCGTTTGTTTCGCTCTTGTTTTGTTGTTGTTGTTTTTGTTGTTGTTGTTAGTGTTGTTGTTGGCGTCGTGTGTGTAAATGTGTGAGTGAGTTAGTGTGTGTGTGTGTGTCTGTTGGTCTTGTGTTTTGAGCCATTTTAATTTTAGAGGTAACCCAAAATAAATAACCAACCATTCCGCAGAACGCGGCCAGAAGCACCTTTTCAGAAAAAAAAAAAACAAAAACAAAATAGAAGAAACAAAAATAAAATCCTACCAAACAATTGAAAATACTGTTTGAAATTGCAGGTGGCAAAGCTCCAATGCCACGCCCCCCCCCGCCCACCTTTCTGTTCTACAAAATATATTAATATGCCTTCGAGTTGGGTGTGCTTGATAAGCTTTTCGAGTTAAGCGTTTTTAAAGCGTTTTAATGGGATTTTCATGCGAATTGCGTTTGCGTTCTGCGAACTTGGTTTGTAGAAAGGATTTGCGGCTTGGCTTTAACTTTCACTCTGTGTCTGACTCCCAAATCCAAAACGCAATGTTGGAAATGACTGATGGAAGTGGCAGGTGAAGCAACCAGCAGGCGAAAGGCGAAACGAGCCTGGAAATCGTCAAAATGTACAAGGCTAATATTATCTTCGGCTAATGACATTATAATGGGCCTCGAGCAATCTTCTTATTATTTACTTTCGCTACAAAAAAATGAGGGACTTGCAAAATGATATATCTATATATATATACATATATACATATATATAGGTAAGTACTTATTCGAGCTAGACAAATTATTCGACAATCAATCGAGCTAAAAAGCAATTAATTGCTCAGGATGAAGAAGGATGAATATGAAATGTATCAATAGCTAGGCGTATGTTTGCCATCGTTAACAAATAGTTATCAGTTGGAATACATGTTTTCATTATATGCAATTCTCATATCAAAACAATCTTCAATCAAATCACATCACTCGCTGGCAACAGCAACAGCAAACTCGCCGCGCTTTGTTATCGTCTATCGGACGATGAATGCACAACAATAAATCGAAGCTTAAAACCGCATTTGTCACACAGCAATTAATATCGATTGGTTTAACTGCGTTTTAATCGAACGGCTGCGACGCGTTTGATTGCTCGTCCGATGCGCTAATAAAGCTCTTAATTCTGGCCGATCGCTCGAAATAAATCGAAAGGCCGAGAGGCGCGCGCACACACAGTGAAATATATTTTAAAATTAAAGCAATTTTACGTATTATTTTTGGTTTTCTCTGTTTTTGTTATTGTACAAGTATTTTCGTGCCGCAGTCGAAGTGTATGTCTGTCTGTGTGTGTGTGTGTCTGTGTATGTGTGTTGTTGCTTTGACTACCGATCTCCTTCAACTAAAAGAAAGGAAATCGGCTGCTGATGCCTGAGCATCTGTTTCTGTTGCTGCTGCTGCTGCTGCTGATGATGTTGCTGCTGCTGCTGCTGCTGCTGCGGTTGCTGTTGATATTGCTGCTGTTACAGTTATTTTGGTAATGTTGCATTTGGAAATGGAAGTGCGCGGCGCGGAGATGTGCGCATGCTATTCAAAATAAAATATATCACTTATTTTTATAAGCATCACCCGCAAAAATAGGTGTAGTACATAACAACTAGTTGCATTGAGGCCGCACAACAATAACAACAACAAAACAAAACAAAACACATTCATGTACTTAGTCAAGGCGAGTCTCTGTTTAGACTTTCTTTGCCAAATTGCAGGTCTTTGTGTGTGCGTGTGTGTGGGTGATATTTGAATTATTTTTAAAATTAGCACACAAGTAAAAATATCAATATTTGTACATACATTTTCAATATGCACGAATTCTATGGAAATTTCAACAAGGAGTTATTTTTAAACGTTGCCCGGCATCGACTATTGCCGCTGTGTCTGTGTGTGTGTGTGTGTTGGTGGAATGTGGCAAACAGACGTCCAAAAACAAATAAAAAAGATGCGTCTGTTTATTATCAAAATCCTTTTAACAGCGTCAAGTGATTTGCTGCGCAAAATGAGCTTTATGTATACACAGAAAACTGTACAAAATGAAAAACAGCAGAGCTCCACACAATATTTAATTCAACGCTTTGCCATTTGAACATGTTTAGCCAGGCAATTAGTACTTGCTAAAGCCACCATTCGCATCCCTTGACAACAAAAAAAGAGATCCAATTAAGCGTTGGTCATGTGCAGGCATTACAATTCATGCCTTTTGCATGGCTTTCTGAAAGTCAGTTGCAACTTTGGCGCCTGAACGTATGCTACACTCTGCCGCGAATAAAAGTTAATGCATTAACGCGAAATTCAATGAGCTTTACACAAGCAAACACACACACTAACTCACACACACACACAGATACACACACACACTCACAGACACACACACAGACACACGCATATACACATTGCACGCTTAATTAAAGGCGCAAGGATTCATGTAGACAGGCATTACTGTCTCTCTAATGGAGCGACTGACAGCTCTCCAGTCTATTACTACTTGCGGTTCATATCTAACGCAGCAGCAGCGCGCACACACACACACACACACACACTTAGACACACCTCTTGTGTGTATGTAAGCGTAAAATTTTATTGAAAGTGATGAATTAATGAGGCGTTAAATGAATAAATGTGTGTTCTCTTGCCGCCCTATTGAACCGGAAGTTACCCCAACAACAACAACAACAACGACAAGAAAATGGCGTAAAACCCTCAAGCACTCAGTAATTTTACCGCTTCCCCCTCACACCACCATCCCCGGCACACTTCGCACTGTGAAACTAACATAATTATTTAAATTGAGTTTCACAGAATTGTAGAATTTGTGTCCATATTTTTGGGGTCTGCGTATTTTGTGTGGTTTTTGCCACGTGCACAGATTTATTGGTTTGTTAACTTAATGTCCTAGAAATGTATATAATTGTAAATACAAACTTACCTTTAAATTATGGCTGCAGTCCGTGGAACTCCCGATTCAAAAATTACCAATCTGCAAGTGGTAAAAAGACAGATATTTGTATTTTAATAAACTAACTTTAAATTTAATTGACTCACATATTATTTAAAAATATACTACGAATCAGTGAGAAGTTATCCTAACTTATCTGTGGCGTAGAGTTTACAATTTTAAAATTGTCTAATCTCTGACCAGAGTTTAATAAAAATAAAATCTTTGCTTAAAAAAATCTATTACTCAAATCATCATCAAAATTATTTACTCATCTGTGATTTAGAGTATGGATTTTTCATATTTTCTAAGCCCAGTCTTCAACAGTCTTTCATTTTATTTGAAACATATAATCATTTAATTGGCTGGGTATTTCTTTCTTTGCATGCATATTGATATTTAGCAAACAGAGCCCATTAAAAAATTTAATTATAGCCTTGTATACAAACGGAAAAATACCCATTCGGGCAACCACTTAAAAGACACTCTGCAAATTGTTCTATTTGAAGTCAACAATGCAATTTTTATACCCTTGCAGAAGGTAATATAATTTTTTCGATTAGTTCGTTGGGGGGTTCTTCGACCTTATAAAGTATATAGACTCTTGAGTCGACATGTCTGTTCGCCTTTCTGTGTATTGCTATACAAACTATTCGATCATTTTTAAAGCGATATTTTTGAATATAGGCATATATTCACTTTATTGCTATTATTGTATGCACATGACAAACAAAAATCATAGGAACTGGACTACTATTTTATATAGCTCTCATAGGAACATTCGGATGAAAGATAAGTTCTTGTATAAAAAACTTTTTTGGTAACATATTATGAATAGTTAAAATTTAGGCAACTAATCTTCAACAATCAGACGGTTATTTATAGTAAAAGTTAGTTAAGTAAGTTGCCTTATGGACTACAATGATTAACAAATACACACCTAAAGATTATGTTATAAATATCTTGAGAAAAGCTATAAATAAAAAAACTAATCTAAAAAAAAAAAACTAAAACTAATAAAAGAGTAATCTGTTGTCAGAAAAATGCAGAATTTTAGTCAGGTCTGTAGATAAAAATAATCTCAACGCAGATTAAACACTTACATATGTATAAGAAGTATATATATATATATATGTATATAGGTACTATATGCCCTAATGTTTGCATAATTTAACAAATATCTTTATGTGTGTTTGTTTTCTTTTGAGTTCTTGGCTGCCGCCTGTTATTGATGATATGCCAACGAAATGATTTTCATGCGCACGGCACGCGTTATTAAAAACCAATAACTTACACAGCCTGTCAAACACACCCACACACACTCATACTCATACTGAGTTAAAGGATAACGCGATTTTATGCTATAACAAGCCATTAGCACCAAGAGCTAAATCGAAACGGAATCCCAAAGTCGCACCAAACCAGGTGCCAGCTAGTGCCAGGCACGCCAAAGAATACTCATTGACACACCACTCAAACACACACTCAGACACACACACACGCTCACATTTATGCAAAATGGACGAAAATCAAAATCAAAGAAAATGCAATTTAGGTTTATGAGCTTACAGTCCAACTAAAAACAAAAAAAAAAAAAGAAGCCAAATAAATGTTATGATAGATACCAATTTGTTTGCCATTTCGAATATGGAATGTGAAAAGAGGTATTCAATAGAGTCAGGGAAGGAGGGCGGGGCTGTGGGCATAGTGGAGATTGGCTATCAAAAATGCAAGCTGCGTGCAACGCGGTGTCAATCACTCTAGAGCTATACGTTTGCCAGTTGGCCCAAGACACAAGTTGCAAGTGGCAATGTGGCAAGTTACCACATAGTCAACAGTCAACAAACAGCGCCGCATTGCATTTCCGCTGCGACAGATAACAACAACTGCAACAACAACAATTGCAATAGCAATAGCAATCAGAACTTGGTATGCAAATGCAACCAACAACCAACCAGGTTGCCAACCGGGCTCTAAGAGACCCAACCCAAGGCACATTCACTTCGTGACTCTGGTCAGTTGTGTCGCGCCACCAAATGGCCAACTTCAGTTTCGCTTTCGCTTTTGCTTTGTCTTTGTCTATGGCAACTTCTGTTGGCGAGGTGCACTCAACTAGTTGTGCGAATAGATAAATGCAATCTGTAAGATAGACGTATTAATTACTTAACTGTTTGTGTAGTTTAATTAGGTGATATAATAAAATGTCTTAAAGAGAGTGCGAACTAAACTAGCAGTTAAGGGAATTCTGCTTAGTTTAGTTACTCGCTGTATCAAAATTACTTAAAAAGAGAAATTAAATCCACTTAAAAAGAACAGAATGTGATACAAAACTAAACTAGGCTCATTTAGAGCACTAAATCTCAATAGAGTTAAACTATGAAATCATAAATAAATCTGTTAAATATATTTAATCGAAGCGTTTAAAATAAAGGTACTGAAACTATCAAAATTTCCACCTGAATCCACTATTTAAACATAGGTTTCATAGCCTAATTTGCCCTCAAATTAATTTTTTTATTTAGTTATGTAAGATCTATTCCTATATTTATTTTTTTTGGGCTGTTACAGTTACTGAAGGCCCATAAAAAATAAAAAAATCCCCAAACTCGAAATTGAAATCAGACTTAAGACAAACGACGCCAACAGAAATTGCTTGTTTAATAAAAAATATTTTTTGGTTAACAAAGTATGAGTTCTGATCTTTCTACAGTTAATAAATAATATGTCAAGGCTTATGAATATACCTCGACAATACTTTCGAATATACCTGGACATATTATTGATTAACTGCAGAATTTTCATCCAGATAAATTTTAAGACTTTGTCTTTAAAGTTTTGGCTTTATTAATTATATGTTTTTGTATTGCTATCGAACATTTATATTGATTTTCACTGTTTATGTCGATAAAATGTAATGAACTTGATCTGCGTATGGCTTACGAGAATATACTTTCCAAAATTTGAAGTCTCTTACTTTTATAGTCACTGAGATAGGTACTTTTTTACAGAAGACACACAAACAGGGCTCAATCGACTCAAGCGTTGATTGTGCTCAATAATATATGTATTACGAGGAACCAGAAATGCATTCTATTGCCTGAATGTATGTAAATTTGGAAATCATATTTATGCGCCTTTCTTAATGATGCTATACTGGAATCAATTTCAATTTAGTTTAGTTTAGTTACTCATACTTTTTAGGGTATTAATTTAATGTAAGTTGGCTTTCCTTAATGTGTTTAATTGACCTTAGGTAATTGCCAATTAAATCTATTATCCATTTATATATCGTACATGCAAACAGGCTTGTAGTTTCACACATAGCTTAAGCTGTAGGAGTATTATTAGTCCAAGACTGTTAAATCGTGTCAGACGCCCCTCGCTTTGGCATTTAAAATGCCAAGTGAATAAATTGCATAAATTCATAAGCATTTTCATGTATATTGTCCTTGAAATGGACGGCCGCAACGACTTGTGGCAAGTGTGGCGTTTGACTGTGAACCCGTCTACGACTTTGGCACTGTGCCTGTAATTGATAAACCATGCCTCCCCCAACGCCGCCCCCTTGCTGGATGTCAAGCGAATACAAGTGAATGCCGTTTGAATTTGTAATCGAGTTGAAAATGTCGCCGGAAATGGTCGCAAACATAAAACCAAGCAAACCCAACAAATACAGCTGCGAATGGCGACAGTTGCATTTGGCTTGGCTTGCTTGTACTTTGATTAGCAGCAGGCATTTCGTATTTCGAGCCGAATACAAAACACACAGCAAACGCCACAAGGTATGCAGCACTTTTGCAGCAAACTCACAGAGTCAAACAGAGAGCCACAGCAACTACAAGTCTCGATTTATATATATGTATTTGTTTTGCCTGCTGCTTTTTTTAGTTGTTCGCTAATTTTAGATGGAAAGTTTAAAGTTGAAAGCATTTCCGCATTGCATGTTGTTCGTACTGACGTCACTGCCATATTCAAAGGCTGGCGAAATTTAATTTATGCAGAAAATACACCAAAAACTACCACGATAGTTAATTAAAAATTCTGCTGCATAACTCACAGGCGCATAAAACTTAACTCAAACATGTGAGTGAGTTGCCACTGAGCAGAGAGCTTTGAGTGAATTGCAGCCGCATCGGAGAAGCTTTGGTCTTGTGAGTGAGCACTGCAAGTGTTGAGCACGCCCCCTGGCGTCAGCGATTGCAAGTCAGTAGCGCACAAGCTGCAAGCCAACCCCCGTTCAAGTTCAATGCAATGCTGTCCTTGACGGCGTCGACGTCGACAGCGACAGCGACGCCGATGCCTATGCCCGATGGAATCGTGTGACAAGCTCCGATAAATGTGGCAACGGGCAGCGCAAGCAAAGGTGGCTATCGCTTTTGCGTAATTGGGGCGTACCATGTGGGCGCAACGGTCAGCACCTGCACTTGAGCAAGGTGAGAGGTGAGAGTTTGCATGTGTGTGTGTGTGTGTGTGTGTGTGTGTGTGTGTGTGTGCGTGTTTCTCATGTTTTGGCATGTAAAGTGATTGCGTGAGTAATCCGCAAAGGTAAACAGTATAGTGAAAACTGCAAGAAGAGCTGTGCACGATTGCTAAATGCTCTGTAATAAACGAAAAAACAAAACACATATTTTGGACAAGCCAAGAAAACTTTTCTTTTAAATTCAATCATAAATCTAGCTCTTGTAAACGCAATTTATTTTAATCAGTCTTCAGCACATCATCTAGTTGAATTACAATATCCAACTAGAGCATATAGAGACAATTTAGACAGTCATTATTTGTCTGTGCTTTTCACGTGCATGCAATTGAATAAGAAATAAACTAAAGCGTTTAGCGCTTGTCACTTTTGTTTGTTTGTTGTCTAATTAGTTTACGTGAAACGTGAAGAAAACTTGCACAAGAAAATGCGATTATTTGTTTGAATGCACCTATGACAAAGCTAAAAGGAAACAAGCCACATCAAACATGCTGTGCATTAATGATATAAAAAAAGGCAATTTTTCTTCTTAATTTCCATATTAATTGCTAATTTACCTATTAAA